GATTTAAGGCTAGACGGAATAGGAGAAGGTCAGGGAAGCAGTACAATGAGAATGCTTAAGAGCAGTCTGGATTTGACTGGATTTGAGCCCTGGCTCTGCCACTCACTATCCCTGTAACCTTGAGCCAGGTATTTATTCTCTCCCAGACTTAATTTTTATTTTATTTTATTTCAGATGGAGTCTCACTCTGTTACCCAGGCTGGAGTGCAATGCCGTGGTCTTGGCTCACTGCAGCCTCCGCCTTCTGGGTTTAAGCAATTCTCCTGCCTCAGCCTCCCAAGTAGCTGGGGCTACAGACACGTGACACCACACCGGCTAATTTTTGTAATTTTAGTAGAGATGGGGTTTCACTATGTTGGCCAGGCTGGTCTTGAACTCCTGATGTTGCAATCCACCCACCTCAGCCTCCCAAAGTGCTGGGATTACAGGTGTGAGCCACCGCACCCAGCCACTTAAAATTGTTTAATTTATAAAATGGGACAAAATCTACCTACTTAATAGGGCTGTGAGATAATGCATAAGCATATTTAGAACAGTGACAGGCACATATTAAATGCTTGATAAATTTATTAATATTAAATCCAGCTGAGGGAAGAAAGAGAGGACTAATGCAGTGGAGGTGAGCTGTTTTGTGTACAACTAACTGACAACATCTTCATTGATTATCTGCAAAGAAAGTCAATAATGGGTTGCATTATTTATAGATGTTCTAATACTTCTTGGTGTGTTTGCTTGTTAAAAACAAATAATGATGTTTTCCTGTTTCTCTATATTGGGAAACAAAACTTATGAAAAAAGACCTAACAGGTTAGTTACCACTTGTAACCTTTGTCATTGAATGATAAATTGTGGCTGAGTTTTCTGTATACATAATTTCTGTTGATGAATTCCACTGTAGATTTTTCTGTTTTTTCTATCCTTTTTGTTCTGTTTCTTGCAGACTTCCTGGTTAATCACTTATTTCAGCAACGTTTATTACTTCTAAAACAAAAAGGATGAATGGTATGCGGCAAATATAAGTTGATGAGGCATGGATGGAATTAATTTTAATGAGAACTCTCAGAGGCCTGAAGTTAGTTTAATTACGCCTGTGTAAATTCTGTCATGCCTTTCACATGTCATATGTTTTCATCTGTTGAGCATTAGTGAACCCTGTTAGGTTAGTATCTGTGAACTGCTAGGTTTAAAAATTCATTTTTCAGTACTCTTGAGATGGCATCACAGAAATCTTTTTGTGCTCTCCCTAATATTATGGTAGCCACCATGGTGCAGATGCCTGTATGTTCTGTTATTTAGTACTGAAGAAACCGTGAAGAGAGAATTATCCCTCCCCCTTTCTTTTTTGAGATGAGGTCTCACTCTGTTGCCCAGGCTGGAGTGCAGTGGCGCGATCTAGGCTCACTGCAACCTCCACCTCCTGGGTTTGAGTGATTCTCCTGCCTCAGCCTCCCAAGTAGCTGGGATTACAGGCACCTGCCACCACACCTGGCTACATTTTTCGTTTTGTTTTGTTTTTTTGAGACAGAGTCTTGCTCTGTTGCCCAGGCTGAGTGCAGTGGCATGAGCTCGGCTCACTGCAACCTCCGCCTCCCCAGTTGAAGCGATTCTTGTGCCTCAGCCTCCCAAGTAGCTGGGACTACAGGCAAATGCCACCATGCCTGGCTGATTTTTTGTATTTTTAGTAGAGACGGGGTTTCATCATGTTAGCCAGGATGGTCTCGATCTCCTGACCTCATGATCCGCCTGCCCTGACCTCCTGAAGTGCTGGGATTACAGGCATGAGCCACTGCACCCGAAAAATTATCCCATTTTATAGATCAAGATAACCAAGGCTTAGAAACATACTCAAAGTGACATGCCAGTAAGTGGGAGAGCCAAAATTTGAAAATTGGATTTTGATTTTAAAATTTGTGCTTTTAAAAACTAGGCCACCAACTGCTTCTCTAATACACAGTAAATCAGAAGACTGCAAAACTGACCCTCTACAAGGTGGCCAGGCTTGTTTATTGCCTGCTGCTCGCACTGGTCCCTGCCCTCACTTTACTGTCTAATTTTACTGAACAGAATCATGGGTGTAAAGGCTTAACTTGAAGAATCATCCAGTTTAGTGGCTCTAGCCAGTCATAGAATTTATTTTGTTTTAAATTATGATTAAGTAGGTTTGAGCTGGAGCCCAGGAATCTGTGTTTTAATCGACTCTACATGTGATTTTTGACAGTCTGACAGGTTTGGGAACCATTTCAGTTTAGTTACATGAATCCCTCCTTCCAAAATCCTCTTTTAATTTTCCTGACAGGTAGTCATCTAATGTCTGATATCCATTTGTGATAGGAACTCACTGTTACATTGGCAGGAATGTGCAGTTAGTTACAGTGCAGTTTTTCTATAGAAGTAACCATGGATTTAATTAATTTCTTTGGCCAGATTTTTATACTCCTTAGGTTTTGGCATTGAGGGCTCTTGTATCTTCTCTGAACCTTGCCTTCTTCATGTGTAAAATGGGTATGTTGTTATCTACCTTGAGGGATTATCAGTAATTAAATGAAAAAATAAACTGTCCTGTCTGGAAAGATTCTCGAATGCCTTCAAATAGCCTTTTCTTATAGTTCCCTTACCATGTCAGTCTATTCTGAAACACTCTCATGTCTTCAGAGTTCTAGTTAGAAGTGTGGATGTGATAGAGGGCTCCTAGATAATTCATTTTGGGATTGTTAGTGCCAGAAATAGGTTATCATTTTGCCTCCTCATCAGTATGCTTCTTTACCTCTGGCTTTTTCTTTGGACAAAGTATATGATAGACACTCTTATGGGTACAGATAAGCCTGCGTTTCTGGAAATTCAGCTTTACTCCTTAGAGTTTCCACTGATAACTTGAACCCGGAGCAAAACAAATGATCTGCAGGAAGACTTTAAATCTAAAAGAAAAGACCTTTTTAGATTGTATAGAGACCAAAGTAGAGAACCAAAGAAAATATTCCTTGTCTCTTTCCTATCCAAGGGGAGAGATAGGTAATGGGTGAGTGTTATCCATAGAAGAGGATAAATGATCAAATGCAAAGCTGGAAAAGACTGTTCAAGACCCTGAAAATAATCTCTCATCACTGTAGGTTGACTTGGTTTGGTTGTTGAGATGTATGCTTGTCTTGCTTTTCTTAACCAAAGCAAACTTGATCTGTTCTTTAGTATTAACTTAGAACATGAGCTATGCTTCCCTTGAGGCTCAGAGTACTAAGAAGAGTTTGTAGGTGATAGTCTCTTGAAGGCGTGAGTGAAATGTGGTGAAATAACACTTTTTTCTTTAGTTTGTGTTAGATTTCTAGTTTCAAAATGTTTTTGAATGTAACATCTTGAAAATACTTCTTTGGGTTAAAGTTTCTTCATGTGAGTGCTTTTCAAAAGATAATTTTAGTACTTTGGACACATTAAAATTTTTTTTTTCTTTTTGCCATTATCTTCATGAATACAACTTTAAACACATTTTTATTTTTATTTTTTAGTTTTACTTTTTGAGATGGAATCTAGCTATGTCGCCAGGCTGGAGTGCAGTGGCGTGATCTTGGCTCACTGCAACCTCCGCCTCCTGGGTTCAAGCAATTTGCTGCCTCAGCTTCCTGAGTAGCTGGGACTCCAGGAGCATGCCACCATGCCTGGCTAATTTTTTGTATTTTTAGTAGAGACAGGGTTTCACCATGTTGTCTAGGATGGTCTCAATCTCTTGACCTCGTGATCTGCCTGCCTTGGCCTCCCAAAGTGCTGGGATTACAGGCGTGAGCCACTGCGCCCAGCCACATTTTTATTTTTAAAAAGTGTATCCATATATGTAACTTACTGGTCAGAAATGTTAAAGATATCCAGTACATTTTCATTGAAATTATAGTCGCCCTTTAGTTTTTCAGGAAAATGATTCCATCTGAGTTCTTAATTATTGTGGTCTTTATCATTTGCAATCAGGAATTCTAGACCAGCCTGGGCAACATAGTGAGACCCCATCTCTAAAAAAAAAAAAAAAAATTTTAGCTGGGCATGGCGACATGTGTCCTAGCTACTAGGGAGCCTGAGGTGGGAGGATCACTTGAGCTCAGGAGGTCAGGGCTGAAGTTAGCCATGATTGCACCACTGTACTTCAACCTGGGCAACAAAGCAAGACCTTGTCTTAAAAAAAAAAAAAAAAAAAAAAAATTACAGTCTTCCTCTAGGGGGGAAACATCTGTGTTCATTTGACAATGAAGTTATTGGGTGGAGGGTAGAAAGCAAAACCAATTAACTTGACTCTTCCTTTTAAATTTACTATTTTAGTTCATTTTCAAGAAAGTCACTCTGAACTACATTACGTTATAGAATATTAGGGGAGATGATGCAATTTAATTAGTTATGGAGACTTATATTAAACTTAATGTTGCCAAATCATTATTCCTTTTTTTTTTGAGATGGAGTCTTGCTCTGTCATCCAGGCTGGAGTGTAGTGGTATGATCTCGGCTCACTGCAACCTCTGCCTTCCAGGTTCAAGTGATTCTCCTGCCTCAAGCCCCCCAAGTAGCTGGGATTACAGGTGCGCACCACCACACCTGGCTACTTTTTGCATTTTTAGTAGAGGCGAGGTTCCACCCGGTTGGCCAGGCTGGTCTCGAACTCCTGACCTCAAGTGATCTGCCCACCTTGGCCTCCCAAAATGCTGGGGTTACAGGTGTGACAAGTCATTATTCTTAATGAAGAGAGCAGGATCAGCGCAGTAGCTCATGTCTGTAATCCCAGCACTTTGGGAGGCCAAGGCAAGAGGATTGCTTGAGCCTAGACATTCGAGACCAGCCTGGGAAACATAGCAAGACCCCATCTCTACAAAGTAAATAAATCAATAAACAAATAAAAAGAAGGACTGTATGCTATTAGGGCTCTCTGTAACTTTCATTCATGTCATCATTTCACAGCAGGAAGCAAATGATATGGTGTTAATTTTATGAAGTAATTTTATGTATTGTCTTGTTTTTGTTTTTATTTTTAGGACCGGAGTAGGCCCTATGATACTTTTAACTTGCACTCGTTGGAGAACTCCTTAATGGATATGATAAGGACTGATCATGAGCCTCTGAAAGGTAAACACTACCCTCCCAGTGGCCCACCAATGAGTTTCGCTGATATAATGTGGAGGAATCATTTTGCAGGTTAGGAATATTCATATGTCCATTTCTTGCTTGGTGTTTTAAGCAAAAATCAGCTTTTTAATAATTTTGATTTTTCTGGTTTGTTTTTTGTTTGCTTGTTTTTGTTTTGCTTCTGTAAAGCATTGTGGAATGTATTTAAAGTTGATTTCTTTTAAACCTGGGTTCAGCTACCTATAATAATCAAGGTGGATTGTTATTATCAGTCATGTCTGGCAGGAGCATGAATTGGGTAGCTGAGATCAGTCACATTATGAGTTAATAGCATGAGACCAGCAGCCAGGTTTTCTGGGCTTTGTGTATTTGGAATCCTCAGCTGAACTTAGATAATTCATTTAAGTCCATATATATATACTGCAAGGAACTGTGAGAGTTAGTAAACCAATCTCCAAAGATTGCTTCAGAAAACTGCATATAAAGGACTTCTATTTTATTAAAGCATAATCACCTTCCTAGTATAGAAAGTATCACTACACAGGCTTACGGGCAGCCAGTGACCCTTTGCATTCTCTGAGGCCAAAACACAAGAAAATATCTTAAAGTATATAAATGTTTTGGATTAAATATAAGGCAGAAGGTCTCAAAGTTAGCAGTATTAGGACTTCCTGTTTTTAGAGCCTATGTAAATTCAGGATAGATGTTGGTGTTTAATTCATAATTACAGATAGTTCTTTTTATGGGTTATAGGACTTTTTAGAGACTTTACGATATTTTAAAATACTGTAATTACAGTATCTAAATTTCTGAAAACTATGAAGAGTTTTCTTTTTTTTGTGTGTGTGAAGAGTTTTCATCCATGGGGATGTCCATCTTGTATGAACCGTTACATCTTTCAAAATTGTGAGGAATTCACTCCCCTCCGGTTATCTCTAGGCCCATATTATAGTGTGAATGACTGTGAACACCTGATGCTCATTTCTTCAAGCCACACCAGAAATCTCTTTCATCATTTTCTTGTCACACTCATGATTTTCTTCTGCTTTCCTCATTTTCCAGTGAAAAGAAAGTAGTCAATAGGTTATGAAGAAAAGAAGGGATTTTAGGGAAAGCTAGTTTTTTGGGGTTTTTTTTGTTTGTTTTTGTTTTTTTGAGACAGTGGAGTGCAGTGGCACAATCTTGACTCACTGAAACTTCCGCTTCCTAGGTTCAAATGATTATTTTACCTCAGCCTTCCGAGTAGCTGGGATTACAGGCGCCTGCCACCTCGCCCAGCTGGTTTTTGTATTTTTAATAGAGACAGGACTTCACCATGTTGGCCAGGCTGTTCTCAGACTCCTAACCTCTAGTGATCTGCCTGCCTCGGCCTCCCAAAGTGCTGGTATTATAGGCGCGAGCCACTGTGCCCAGCTGATACTTGCATTTTAAGGAAAATATTTTTAAAATGTTTTGACTTTAAAAAGTGGAGAAAATTATAAGAACAAAAACGTAACTAAAAAATAAAAGATTGTGATGGTATATTCTTTGTCTAATTCTCCTATGATAAGCATTATCCATGCTTCTATCAGATCTTTGTAATTTACTGCTAGGCCTTGACTTTAGACTCTTAGGTTGTTTCCAATTTTTCCTCCATTAAAGGTAATGCTGCCATGGATGAGTTCTTGCACATAGCTTTTCCTTAAGGTAAATTCATAGTGAGAGTCTTTGGGTCAAAAGAGATAAACATTTAGGTGGATTGAGCTTTAAGAGAAGGATGGTAGGCTAGAGGACCTACCTTGTGGCTTCTGTATGAGTCTGTTCAGAAGCACTTCCCTCTATACTATCTTGCTTTTCCTCCTCTTTTTTTTTTTTTTTTTTTTTGAGACAGAGCTTCGCTCTTGTTGCCCAGGCTGGAGTGCAGTGGCGTGCTCTCAGCTCACTGCAACCTCTGCCTCCTGGGTTCAAGAGATTCTCCTGCCTCAGCCTTCTGAGTAGCTGGGATTACAGGCATATGCCAGCACGTCCAGCTAATTTTGTATTTTTAGTAGCGATGGAGTTTCTCCCTGTTGGTCAGGCTGGTCTCAAACTCCTGACCTCAGGTGATCCACCTGCCTTGGCCTCCCAAAGTGCTGAGATTATAGGTGTGAGCCACTGCGCCCAGCCTCCTCCTACTTTTAATATCCTTTACTCCCACTTGAACATGGGGAACACTATTTTGAGGACCTCAAAACTCAAGTACAGAGTAACTGGTCTTTGTTTGTTTTTTTGAGATGAAGTTTTGCTCTTGTCGCCCAGGCTGGAGTGCAATGGCATGATGTCGGCTCACTGCAACCTCAGCCTCCCAGATTCGAGTGATTCTCCTGCCTCAGCCTCCTGAGCAGCTGGGATTACAGGCACCTGCCACCACTGCCAGCTAATTCTTGCATTTTTAGTAGAGACGGGGTGTCGCCATGTTGGCCAGGCAGGTCTCAAACTTCTGACCTCAGGCGATTGCTCGTCTTGGCCTCCCAAAGTGCTGGGATTACAGGCCTGTGCCACCCCACCTGGCCCCAGAGTAACTGGTTTTTGTATGTTTGTTTGTTTTGATTTTTTTTTTTCCTAGAGCTTAATTTCCTTGGTTTTTCAGGAAAAAAAAAAATTTTTACTCATTATAAGAAATGCAAATAGTGTGTAAAAGGATGAAAAGGAAAGTAAAAAAGAAAAAAAAAATCACTAGAGGCTGGACGTGGTGATCGCTTGAATCAGGGAGTTGGAGGTTGCAGTGACCAAGATTGTGGCACTGTACTGCAGCCTGGCGACAGAGCGAGACTCTGTCTCAAAAAAAAAAAAAAAAAAATCACTAGAGACTCTACCTAGAAGTAACAAAGGTTATTATTTTTGTTAACATCCTTCCAGATATTTTATATTCTCCATATAGGAGATGAAATTACAACTCAGCCTTTCTGACTTTGCAGTCAGTGAAACCTGGGTGTGAATTCTGTCTCTGCCTCTGTCTGCCTATTAATCTGGATAAATTAGCCTCTTTAAAGCCTCAGTGTCCTTATTGTTAAAATAAATTCCCTACTTCATAGAGTGAGTACGAAGATCAAATAAAGTCCCTGGCACTAGAAACTGCTCAAATGTTATCCACAATTTTTTGCTGGAAGTAGTATGGTATACTTGCAATATTGACTTCTTTCCAACTAGACTGCAGCTAAATGTTGAAATTTTTCAGATGCACGTTGTCAAAATTTTATATTTTTCATAAGTAGTGATTATTGAAGGATAAATATCTTATTTTCAAAGCCACTTAGAAAGGAAAATAATTTTTCAATTATTTTGGCTTTCCAAAATTGTATATCTGAATGATGTAAAAAATATAAAATAGGATATCCAGTATTTTAAGATGTACTTGAAGAACATGGTAAAAATATGTTCACAATAATATTTTATCTTAGAAATGTATTCAGTAAGAAATCCCTTTATTCAACTGTCCTGTTGATTCAGGGGAAAAAACTATTAGCATGGGAGATAACAGAATAGGAAGTTTAGGAGATAATGAGACTTCTGTTTTAGTGAAGTAAATAAACTTTAATAGTTTTTTGGTTATGTATTCGATTGACCAGCCCTGAAAATATTTGTAGGAAATTTTAAAAGTTTCTCTATCTCATCCCCCATGATAAAAATTATATAGAAGAAAAGCTGAATTGAACTTTCTTCATAGCACACTGAAAAATATCTTCTATAGTATTAATCAGATCACAGAATGCGTATTTAAATAAAAATTGGACTAATTTATTATTTATTTATGTATTTATTTTCTGAGCTGGAGTCTTGCTCTGTCGCCCAGGCTGGAGTGCAGTGGCGGGATCTCAGCTCATTGCAACCTCTGCCTCCCTGGTTCAAGCAATTCTCCTAACTCAGCCTCCTGAGTAGCTAGGATTACAGGTGTGTGCCATCACACCCAGCTAATTGTTGTATTTTTTAATAGAGACAGGATTTCACCATGTTGGCCAGTCTGGTCTCAAACTCCTGACCTCATAATCCTCCCTGCTCAGCCTCCCGAAGTGGCCGGGATTATAGGCATGAGCCACTGCGCCCAGCCAGACTAATTTATTTTTTTATTTTTTTTACTTTTTAAAGATCCCAAACTACAGTGCTTGGCTGTAAAAGAATAAGGTAATGATCTTCTGGGTTTTGTTTTGTTTTTTGTTTTTTAACTATGTCTTACATATACTTTTCCTTTCGTTAGAGAGAATGCCTCAGAGATGAGAAAGGAGGCTTTTGAAGAGGGTAATGCTCTAATGCAGCTGTTTCTTATTTTATTTATTTATTTATTTTGAGACAGGTTCTCGCTCTTTCACCCAGGCTGGAGTGCAGTGGCACAATCTTGGCTCACTGCAGCCTTGACCTCCCAGGCTCAAGCAATCTTCCTGCCTCAGCTCCGTAAGTAGCTGATACTAGAGGCAGGGGCACCATGCCTGGCTGATTTTTTCTATTTGCTGTGAAGACAGGGTTTCACCATGTTGCCCAGCCTAATCTTGAACTCCTGAGCTCAAGCGATTCTCCTACCTCAGCCTCCCAAAGTGCTGAGATTATAGGCATGAGCCACTGGCCCTGACCCTGTTTCTTATTTCTTTTTCTCAGTACAGAAATCCTTGGGTTGGCAGATGTAGTAGGAGGGAGCAATTGTTCTCTGTTCTCATTTCTAGTGGATTGAAGAAAAATCCAACTCTCTTCTTAACTATGAAGATTAAGGGGATTAATGGTGTTGAGAGAGGTGGGGTAAGAGATAACGAAAAAGATTCATCCCTATTATCTTCCTCATAGCTGTTCCTTGACTTTCTACCTGTAATGCAGGTTCACTAAGCTCCTGTGGAACCACTCTGAAAACTCATGGTCATTAGGTTTAATTAATCATATTCTCCCAACTCTAGAAAGATAATAAGGAAGTAGCAACTATAGCACATTGAGCAGAGAAGTAAGATCATATACCCTAACTGGGGAAGCCCAGTATAGCAGGCATCTTGGCAAAAACAGGGAGGAGTTACTTTTTCTTCATCCCATGCAATTTGCCTCTTACAGCAGAAAAAAGGCCTGGCTGACTA